CCCAAAATGTGTATGATCATTTATGATTCAATAAAAAAATAAATAAAATTTAAATATAAATAAATAAAATAAAATAAAAATAATAATAATAAAGAAACCTGCCATGGTGGGAGTATTTACCACACAGATTGGTAAATGCTACAAATCAGGCTATGATTTATTGTTTTGTTGATTGCCACTGATGGAGAAAATGTTAATGCAGATTAAACTTAAAAGTGTGTCATGTCTGTAGCTGTTATACTGGGAACTGTATCCTTCTACTATACTTTGATCCAACAAAGAAGTTGCTTATATCATTGATGAATGAGTAAAGTTCTGACAGATTTATCTGCATTATTTCACTCTTACGTGCTAATGTGAATGAAAATATCAAGACAGCAATTCTGCAGCAGACACAAGCTGGGTGTCCTCTAATTCAATTCCAACACTATCTACCTGGAGACATTGTCAGATCCCACAAATTAAGGGCTCAGTCCCCAACAGTGCCCCCTACTTCAGATGCCAGATGCAAGCTACAGGTTGTTTTGCCTGTGCTTCTGACCAATTGGGGTTTCCACAACCCCTTCTTTAGGTTTGATTAATTTTCTGAGCAGGTCACAGAACTCAGGGAAAGATTTAGTTACATTTACCCATTTATTAAAAAGGGTATCTTAAAGGACACAAATAAATAGCCACATGAGGAGATACACAGAGCAAGGTCTGGAGGGTCCCAAGTGCAGAAGCTTCTGCCCAATGGAGTTAGGGTGTGCCACCCTCCCAGCAATTAGAGGCAAAAACCCCATGTGTTCCCTATCAGGAAGCTCTCCAAATGTGGTTTTTATAGAAGCTCTTGGGTTTTTATAGAAGCTTCATTACATAGGCATGATTGATTAAATCACTGGCCACTGGTGATCGACTTAACCTCCAGCCCCTTTTCCCTCCCTGGAGGTTGGGGGGTGGGACTGAAAGTCCTGCCTTCGTGTTTCCTGTGACCAGCCCCCATCCTGAAGCCACCTAGTAGCTGCCAGCCATCAGTCAACACATTAGCATACAAAAGGAGAGCATTTTGGAGATTCTAAGGATTCTAGGAGTTGTGTGACAGGAGACAGCATGAAGACCAAATATGAATTTCCAAAATATCATACTCAGCCTAAAGAAAGGGATGATAATTCTTCATTCCTTCTTTCAGACACAAGGTAATACACACTTGGGCTCCAAGTTTGCAGCTCTCTGACACACGCGTGATTAGTAACCATTTCCCAAATAAAAAGTACCGGATGGACCCAGCTTTTCTTGATAACACTCAGGCCCTTGGGTAGTCTCAGGTGTGAGCTTGACTTTCCTGGTCTTTCCTTAGCATTGACTTCACTGGACTCCCAGCATCTTGCCTGCTAGCAGAGCTGTGCATAAGAAGGGGAGTTGTGCCTTTTGCTCAGCCACACAAATTGGTACAATTAAGAGAAAGCACTGAAAAATCTCTTCACACAACAAAGCACTGTTCAAGTTGACTTTTGGTCCTGCCTATATTAAGAAGCAGCTGGCAGCTCCCCAGTCTCTTTCTCTTTCTCACTCTGTCACACACACGCATGCACAGTGATACATATAAAAATGAAGAATATATTTTCTATCTTATCAGGCTTCCTATTTAATCTCTGCTTTGAGAGGCTCCCTATTATCACACTGATAAAGGGCATAATGATCTGTAGTCATTACTCCCCCCTGTGCTTTATCCTTTTAAGAAATTATGTGGAAATAATCTGATCTTTGCAGTGACTATTCCTCATGTGATCCCAGAGTATTGTCACAGTCTAAATCCTTCTTGATTCTCTCCCATCCAATCCCAGGTTTGAAAGGACAGTGTGGTGCTAGGCTAATGTCTGAATCCTGCCGACATCAACAATTGTAGTGCTCTTAATCCTGTTCGTGACACCAATTGTAAATCTAGGCGGCCACACCAGTTGTCGGGCTCTTTTACCTGCCGGTAATCCTGCACCGACTGGGCCGATTGTTGAGCTCGGGCTGGGTCTGGAGTTCACAGACTCCTCAAGCCCATTCGCAGACTGGGTCACAAACCCTAAACATGCCAGGCTGGGTCCCCAGAGCCCACACACGCAGGTCTATAAGCTAGATAACTGGCCAAAAGGTCCTTGGAGCCATATCTTGGAAAGCACAGCTGCGCAGGGCAGACACCCAAGGCTGATGCCTGCCCACCTGCTTCACTAAAACTCCTCTCTCTCCTCTCTCTCTCTCTCTCTCTCTCTCTCTCTCTGAAGAACAGAAGAATAGCAACAAAACTAAAAAGATACATTGGCACGCATCTGCATTAACTCCACACTCACACTCACACACACACAATTTGCTTACAAAGGATGTGCTAAAACCACACCCAACTGGACCTGAGGCAAGGGCCCTGACCAAACTCTTCTGTTTTCCCAACAATCCACCCCTTCAGAGTCCTCCCCATACAATCTATGCATTAAGAATCTTCTATGACATTCCCTTAGCAAAGATAAATGACCCTTACATTTACATACTACATATTCCATCCCATTCCCAAAAGTCTTTAGCTCATTGCAGCACCAACACAAAACTCCAAAGTCTCATCTGAGACTAAAGGCAAAACTCCTTTCAGCTGTGAACCTGTAAAGAGTCAAAAACAAGTTTATCTACTTCCAAGATACAGGGACAGACATTGGGTACACATTCCCATTCCAGAAGGGAGGAATAGAAAGGAAAAATGGCCCCAAACAAATCCAAAACCCAAACTGGGCAAACATTAAGCACACTGGGGCACCTAGACCCCTAAAGCATTGGGTAACGTTGCTCCTACAGCTCTGCCAAGTGCAGCCCATTGAGGTGCCCTGGTGCCTTGGTGCCTGTGGCTTTTCCAGACTGGAGCTAAACATTGCCAGCATCCCCAGAGTTCTGGACTCCTGGTGGCAGTCCCGCCATCCTGGCTCCACTAGACATTTCCTCAGTGGTGGTTCTTTGTGGGGGCTCTGACCCCACTTTTCTGCTCCATATTGCTCTGTAGATAACCTCCATAGCGGCTCCACCCCTGGAGCAGGTCTCTGCCTGAGTCCCCAGGCTTTCTCATACACCTTTTGAAATCTAGGTGGAGGCTGCCACACCTCCACTGCTCTCACATACTGCTATCCTGAACGCCACCAAGTTTGTTGGCTTTTTTTCTTTGGAGGTGCTGAGGCAGGATTGCTCCAGCCAGAGCTGCTGGGATGCAGGGAGCCATTTGCAGAGGGCAATGACACCTCAGGTCTGTCCTCCGGGACAACTCAGTTCTCCTAGGATGGGAGGGGCGCTCTCCCAAATTTCTCAAACACTCTCAGGGCCTGTGATGAGTGGGGCACCCCCCCCCCCAGACTTCTCAAATGCCTTTAGGACATTTTTTCCCATTGTCTTGGCTCTTAGCATCTGGCTGCCTCACCGCCAAGATAATGTCTTTAGCTAACAGTTTATCTGCTTCACCCTTGCATTTTTCTCCTGCTCTCCACTTCTCTACCACAGGGCCAGGCTACAAATTTTCCATATGTTTATGTTCTGCTTCCCTTTACATTCTGGCTTTTGAATTACTTCAATCAGCTTGGCTTACACTGGCTACTCACTCAGTCTCAGGCAGTTTTGCAGCATTTGTCTACACAGTTCAAACAGCTGCATTTGCCCAATCCATCAAGGAGTGGCTGCCCTGCTGATACACATATCTGTGGCTATTCTGTAACTGCTGCCACAGAGACAGGCACGTAGTTCCAACTTTTCACCAAGTAAAAACATACCTGAAATTCTGCAGAGTTCCTCTGCCCCAGTTCAAGCTGGAGTTGGCCCTTATAGGACCCCATCTCATCCCCCAATTTCTGGCTCTACTTGGAGGCAGAATATCTTAAAACTCATGTGTTGAAATACATCAGTTCTCTAATTCTTGTTGAGGCTTGGATAAAGCAGGTGTTTGTAAAATGGCATAAACTGTCCTGAAATAAACCTTACCATCTGCAGGCATTAAATTCATTTCCACCTTTTAGTCAGGGACTTCCACTCACCTTATTAAGTAATTAACCAATCTGTATTCACCATTAGAATGGTCTCTCCTGTGTGGCATATTGAAAGAAACAAATCTCCACAATAGTGTCATTGTTTTTACCTCTAATAAGAATCCTAAATATTTAATATCATGAATTGTTTCTTTGTTTTTAATGTATTTTTCTACCTGAATATTTGTTAGTTTCCTTAATTAAAATATTATTCCTTATGAAGTAAAAAATATTTTAGTAGCATTTTCTTGGAATCTCAATTTATAGTTCCTTTTCTTTTCCAGCCAATGATTTTGCTCTTTTCTATTTCCCACTCAAGACTAACACTTTCGGGCCGGCCCGGTGGCGCACTGCTGCTGTGTGCCGCTTGGGAAGCGCGGTGGCGCTCCCGCCGAGGGTTCGGATCCCACGTGCGGACCGGCCGCTCACTGGCTGAGCGAGGTGTGGGAGCAACACTGAGGGTTGCGATCCCGTTGCCAGTCCCGGTCTGGTGTGGGCGCGACACTGAGGGTTGCGATCTGTTGCCGGTCACGAAAAAAGACAAAAAAAAGGAAGAAAAAAAAAAAAAAAAAGACTAACACTTTGTACTGCTCTATAAAATCTGATAATTATCAGCATTATGTACCCTCTGATATCACGCTTTTAGAAGGGTCCATCACCTCCATGGTATCTTTTCCATTAATTCATAACCTCAGTCTAGTCATGACAAAACATTAGGCTAACCTAATTGGAAGAACATTCTGTCAAATAACTGACCAATCCTCATCAAAATCTTATAAGTGACACTCATTCCATTAAACAAAGCATGCTGTCAAAAGCACATTCTATAAATTTGACAAAGATTGAAAATACCTGAACATTATTCTTTTAGAAGTATGTTTTATTAAATCAACAAAGTGATCAAAATGTTACTTTCCAATTTGCCTAAAATAAGGGTGTACCAATAGTTTTAAAACACATTTCCATCACTTCTCCCCACAGGTGACTCAGCTAATCTAACCTGCAGAGCTTTCTTTGGGTACAGCGGAGATGTCAGTCCTTTAATTTACTGGATGAAAGGAGAGAAGTTTATTGAAGATCTGGATGAAAATCGAGTTTGGGAAAGTGACATTAGGTAAAATTTTTTTTTTCTTTCAACTTGTGCAGTCAAAATTAACATTTGCTCTGTTAGCAAATAGAAAATGAACTGAAAGAAAAGAAGACTTTGTGGGTTTGTTTTTTTTTTTTGGTTTTTCTATTATTGTCATAAAAATGTTGCACTATTTAATGGCAATGCAGCAAACACTGTTAAGAGATTGACTATGGATTTGCAAAGCATGAATGCCACTTGCAAAGAATTTAAGAAAAATAAAAAGGAGTATTTCACTAAGGAATATACTGAGTGTGAGACCAAAATACAGTAAAATATGGAAAATGTTATAGTGTGCCTGTTGTAAGAGCTTTTTTTTTTCAATTATTGAAAGAAAACATTAACAAGGTATGAGGAGTCAAGCAAACACAATCTTTGTCATTTCCTTTGATATGTTTTTACATATTTCAGCCACCAAGTAAAAAATAAAGCACTTGGTAGGAGTGGTAAAGGATGCACAAAATGTCTTCACCACCTGTCTTAGTCTGACTATTTAAGCTCTATATATTTATATAGTGGGAATGATACCAAGAGAATAACCATTAAAAATACCATCTATTTTAAAGATATAATGCTTAAGCCTCTTTTTTCTAATGTATTTATTCATTTACTTTTAAGTATCAAGGTATTCAATGCTGACTACAATTATGCTTTGGCATAAATCCCTATTTTTAATCATAACGTAAATAAGCAAGAGCATTAATAATAATAGCTAATTTTTTACCAAATCAGAATTATGATTATTTCTAAAAATTCTCCATCCAAAAGTTGCATCTTCTGGATATGTATGAGCAGTTTAATGATGGTTCCCATGTTTAAATGTCAACACTTTTAAAACTTTATCAAAGGTATAAGAGAAACATATAAAACTGTCATATAAGGCTATTTCTGTTGAGATCTTCATTTCGGCAACAAATACACAAGAATATCACACTCTAGAGTGTTCCAATTGGATTCTGGAAGGGCTAAATGGGCAATCCTCCAGTAAGCACTAAAATGTTCCTTTGATATTTTTCATATTTAAAATTTCACTCTTATCTTTTACTCATACTTCATTGAAATGCTAAAATTAAAGGAGGACCATAAACCTCCTAACTCTTACTCCTTTTGGTTTTGTGTGTGCCCAGGGAAGTTTCTAGAAAGATATTTTTCTGGGCCGGCCCGGTGGCGCACTGGATAGTGCGCCGCTTGGGAAGCGCGGCGGCGCTCCCGTCCGAGGGTTCGGATCCC